ATAAAACATCCAGCCATCCTTTTTGGCTGCCAGGTCACGCACCACCTCTCCTTATTTCATAAGACTTGAAATATCCTCAGGCTTCTTTAGAGTATACACTGCTACTAAGATGTTAAATGGAGAAATCCACTGCTGAATTGACGTAATTTACTTAGTACTAGGAGCGGGCTCAAGACAAAGCTGAGGCCTACCCACACCATCAGGTAATGCAACGGTGTACCTACCATCCCACAGGGAGGGATTACTAAGCAGAGTAGCGAAATCATATTAATCACCTGCCCAGATTTTAGATTTAACCTTATCTGACACCCTTGCTACCAAAGGTACAGACTGGCTAGTGAACAGTGTGGTTGGCTGCAGCTCTCTCTCTGAACTCTGAATTATAGGTTGTTGTGTAACCTGAATTATAGACAAATCACTAATCTGACCCAGTGGCTCTCTAGCAGCCTGAACCTCCTGTCCATTAATTACTCGTAATGTCATTGACAACTGGTTGGACGACTTGAGATGCAGTAGATGCTGCTGGGCTTGCAACGTTGCAAAGACCAGCATCCTTCAAACCTTGAACGACTGCACGTGAGGATAGAGGCTGCTAACCCTTCTGGATCCAAGTGTTGCGCTGCAGCATTATTACGTGTTGTGACTGCAGCAGCTCGCTGTTCACCTTGTTGATCGGTAGTGGGGACTTGCAGCACCGCAGAAGGATTACTTGATGTTTCCACTGAATCAGAACATGTGGTTGTCGCTGCCTTACGCTTTGCTGTAGCTGCCCTGGTGACTGGTGACAACAAAATTATTGACAGAAAATAAACTGTACTAAGTATGAGTGTTATCGCATGATAATAGCAATGGTAATAGCAACAACAGAAGTGAAAGGAAACCGATAAAAATTACATGCACACAGACAATTAAACAAAACAAAATGCATGCTAACTAAAGATAATAACCTTCCAGTTTCAAACAGAAAGTACATACAACCAATAAAATTGGTAAAACCACTCTGCCATAACAAGGTATGTCATTGGGAGAGGGTACAAAAACAGCACTAGTGCAAATGGCCACCAAAACGGTATGAATATTGCACTAATCATGCTGTACTCAATCAAAGTAAAACCACCCCTGGGCCAAGTAAATAAAATAAAAATGCATGGACAGAAGTACTACATCTAATCCGTAAACAACAAACAAATTGCATATATTTGTATAATCACAAAATACAATCAAATTAATTGTAAGGATTTAAGTATTGCTCCACGTAAGCTTCTATAATATCTGACCTCACCGATGCCGTTAAAGTGAATGCCATCGGGGCAGAAAATTGTTGCCGTGTTGCTAAGAACACGCCTATGCTTCCAGAAGTGTCCGTAAGCCAGGCCCCCTAACTCCACCTCTAAGATATTGTTTAACTGAGCCACACGTTCGTTAAAGTTACTCCGAGCTGCTGTGACGCGAGGGAAAACCTGACACACGATAATGACCTTGACGTT